CTGTCTTCAGCGCATATCACCGCCGCCTCCCTCACCGCCCGGTGTCTCAGCAGTACTGACACCAACTCCTCGGTCGACACCATATAATCTGTGCATTCATTTGTATAGATTTTTAATATAGATTTTTACTTCAATTTAAAAGCAATTATTTATTTTTGGGAAAATTAATTGAAATTATTTTTAAGGAAAATGTTTATTTTATGAATTTTAATTTATTGCTTGCATTTATTGAATATAATTAAATATTTCATCGGAATTATAGCTAATAATAATTTGCAGTTTGATATAAAAATTATTTTAGTAATTATCAAAAGTTTTGCAATTAATTTTCTCTCAATCGCCTCAAAGAGTTAATACAAATTGTCATTAAAAATGCAAAATTGTTTTCCATGCTTTCATTGCGTTTATGCCTACATTTAAATGCAATATTTTTAGCGATAAAAGTGGTATTTATTATCTAATAAAATAAATATAACTTTATATTTCATTTAATTTTTTTAGCCCAAAGGGTATAACATCTAACTGTATATAATAGACTAATATTAATAGTACATACAGTATATAATGTGATGCTTTAGCACAAAAGCTATAATTCAAATAATTTTTAATATAAAACTCTCTCTCTCTCTCTCTCTCTCTCTCTCTCTCTCNATTATTTGGTCGCACATCCGCACTTTGTGTAAGTCTCTCTCTCTCTCTCTCTCTCTCTCTCTCTCTCTCTCTCTCTCCTTTCATTCAATCATTGCATATAAATCTCACATTTTTTTGAATACATATGAATGTAATTTATATTTATAATAAAATAGTGGGAAGAAATCAATACATTTATACTATTTTTATAACACAATTTTCTTTGACACACAATACAAAGGGTATATTAAGTGCCAGAATATTCTGCATAACACATACACACAGAATATGATGCGTGAACTCAAAAGTACATAATGTATAAAGAGATTTCATTTTTCAAAGCACTTTCCCATTAAAGCACTTATAATTATTGTGAAATAAATGATAATTTAAAATAAATGTCTCAACATTAGTGCACTGGTAGTCGAGAGTTAGACATACCGTCGACTTTAACAAACTCTTCGGAGTGGCCGACGATATAGAAGAGTCCGGAGCCGTCATAATAGCCGTATTCACCGCTTCTCACAAAGCCGTCTGTCATTGAAATGTGTTGACTCTCGGCGTCGTTATTGAGATATCCAGGAGAGCACTAATTGTGCCAAACAATTGTTAATGAGATTTTTGCACATTAATTAATGATTTAGGTAAAAGTCATCATAACATTTGTGATGAGATTTGAGAGAGAGAGAGAGAGAGAGAGAGAGAGANAATTGACAACAATTTAAATGACATTGTATTTAAAGGAATATTTTATTTTTGTGTTAAATATTTTACTTGTTTTTTACTTCACAGAGAAAAATATCAAATGAAACAAAAAATTAAATACACTTAACGACAAAGAGAGAGAGAGAGAGAGAGAGAGTTTTGGTAATAAAGTTTTAATTGGATTTTTATATATAAAAATTAATATTTTTCTATCAATATTGCTGTCAACGGCACACCTGATCGCTGCAAATGCATAGCTCGCCAACCGTGTTGTGCGGCACTGACCGGCCGTTACTGTCAACCACTTTAAGCTGGACGCCGGCCACCGGTCGGCCAATTGTGGTGTAGTTCGGTATGGTTTCGGTCAAGTACTCGGTGGTCACCCAACCGGCTTCGGCGGTCAAAAGCACTGCACATATAAAGTGACATGACACATGTCAATTATTGAATGTCAAACCCATTAACTTAACTATCAGTAATTGGGAAATTAATTAAAACAAACTTTTTCTAAAACTCCCAAACAATTCAATGGCTGTGTTGTGTGTCTTTTCAGAGATGGCTGTCCCCACAAACCAGACATCTCTTAAGCTCCGGACCATATCTGTGCGCTCCAGACATAGATGTAGTTGTGATGTTGTGAGTATAGCTGTGGTAACCCTATGGCTATGTATGCAATGCAAAAAGTGGTCACTCGTGCCCTCAAAGGTGGCGATCACGAGCGTTGATCCCTTGTTGAGCGCGTGTAGGCATAGGTTAAAACCGGACGGCGAGTAGAGGCCAGCGGTGGTGAGCACCACATCGGTGTCGCCGTTGGCCACGAGTGCCGACAGCTCCGGGTTTTGAAGAGCGCCGGCCGTCGCTATGAGGTTACGATGGGAGCGACGGACGGCTTTAGTGCCGCCATCGTTGGCGCTGGCGATGAGTAGAGCGCAGGTGTTTTCAGCCGAGCCCTCCAACGGTAGGCGCAGGTATTGGCGCTCGTATTGCATGACCTGTTCCAACACATCCAGTGTGTCGTTCAGGCCCTCTGTCGCCGACTTTCGGTCGATTAGCAAAAGTTTCTGTCAAACAATATTAGAATTTATTTATGAAAAACAAATAATGAAATTATTATGAAATATAATTATAAATATAATTATAAAACATTTATTTGGTGTCTAAATACTTTAATCGAGATCATTTCGGTGGTGATGACAGCGCTCGTACCATAATTGAAAGCATCTGTGACTAGAAATGCGGGCTCTATTCCCGTCAACGCCCCATCGATTTCACCTAAATGTTGTAAATATTGTTTTGTTGTTTAGTTTTAAAATAAATATAATAATAATTTTAATTAATATTACGATAAGTGGATCGGGAGGGTAGCGAACAGTAGACCCCTCCCGCCGCCCACACGGCCAGCATTGCCACCACATGTAACGCACTGTCGGCGCACAAAAAGCATACGATATCACCCGGTTTTAGGTGGCATTCAGTAATCAAATAATAGGCCAGATTCAGTGCCCACTCGTACACCCGATCGCCCGACCATTTCTCGCCCGTCGAGCTGTCTATCTATTTATTTTCAACAAATATGTTGGTGTTTATAAGTGAATAATTATGGCCATGATTAATTTATTTCGCATACAAAACTATGTTAGACATTAATCCCTCGTTAATTATATTTGACTTTCAATTCCCTAAATTTTATTTTGTTGTTTTGTTTGTAATAATCACAGCATTTGTCTTAAGGCAATGGATAACCTTTAAGGCATGGGATATGTGGGGAGAGAAATATGTGTGTAAAACAAGAAATAACTTGTGTTTCAAATCAAAATCAGGTCTCTATGAATGAAATACATTTAATTAATCAGTAAATATGTTTAGTTTGTTATAAATTGTATTTTATTTTTCATTCAATCGAGAGAAATATCAGAAAAATTTTGTGCAAAACAAATAGGATTTGATAAAATATTGTTTGATTTGTTTTGACTCTATCTATGAATTGTATAAACATTTGAAATAACATTCTTTGCTGTGAACTGACATTTGTCCGCAAAAATATGTTTTGTATTTCAAGTTTAGGTATAAATACATGACAAGTAAACGACAATTACAAGTGTGTACTCGAGATTACGACCACTAATTTACTGATACCCTGAATATGTA